CGTATGTATATATATACATATGTAGGTGTATTTGTAATTTTAGTGGTCCCAATGGGTTTCGTGTCAACGCCTTTATCCTGGCGGCATGTATGTATATTCATTAGTACATACACATGTATGTATGTATGTGTGTATGTATGTACATATGTATTTAGTGCGTTTGTCCAAGCACTCCTACATACATACATCTGTAGATAAGATCGCTTTCGGCGTTTACCTTCCCATTTTACTGTTTTTGCGCTTGTAGGGCACTTGAATATTTACTAGGGTGATTGCCTTGGTTTTTACAAACCGGTTTCTACTGTTTTTTTTTGGCAATCTGTATGCGAGTTTTTTGAAATCTCGATTTTTCGAATATCGAATAAACCGGATTTTTTGATCGAACAAACCGGTTTTTTAATTTCATCCAAATCTTAATCTCTGATAAAACTTTTAGGTTTTTCGAAATTTTGCAGTTCAAGGGAAGTCTCTAAATAGTTTCAAAATTATATCCTTAGTTATAGTTAGTCTGCGGAGGGGCGACAGCTGCTTCTGTTGATGTTGCTGGGAGCAGAAATTGAACCAGGGATCTCCCAAGTGACAGTAGGCACCTCTAAGCACTCGCCTACTCAAAACCGAAAAAAGTCAGAAAAAATGCAATAAAGTATTTAAAAAAAGATCAAGTGTAAACTTTTCTTTGATTTTTATTTGTTTCGATATAAAAAACTTTGTAATTATTTTGCCTTGCTCTTTTCTTAATAAAAACCAACTTTATTGTTAATAGTATTATTGTATTTTTTGGTCATGACTTCATACCAAGATAAGCATTTTTACTGTATAAAAAGTATGTAAAATAAAACCGGTTTATCCGGTTATCTACTACTTTCAAATGTGGCAACCGGTTTTTTTTTTCACATTGCAATTTTTCGAATAACTCGAAAACCGGAGTTGGGATAAAGGCGAATATTCGAATACCCTAATATTTACGGTTGACTTTTTTTAGGGTTTTGTTTAAGGCTTTTGTGTTAACAATCCCTATGTACATATGCTTTCTGTTTAGCTGCCAGGCGGTGGACATTTATTTAATACCACATATCCGCAGAAAAAAATTAAATGAGTGCACACTCTGTAAATACATATATACTCTTTTTTGGGAATATTGCAATTAAATGAAAGTTAATAGCTTTAGTCATATTATCTGAAGAGTTAGGTTTCAAAGTTTTCACCTAATGCCGGTTTTCCACTGAGCATTGGAATGAGACAAATTTTAATAATAAAAGTTGGGCGCTTCTTTTGCGCAACTGAAAGTTAAAACTTTCGCCAAAGACGAACAGAACATTCGGTTATAGTTTAACATTCGGTCAATTATCGCAATCGAAGTTGGTGTTTTTTTTTAACTAGAAAAGTCGCATTTTTTTTATAACTATTAAAGAAACGGAAAAAGGCATCTATGAGTATAAAGCTATTTTTCTCCTCTTCACGAATATTGGGATTTTTTTCGCTCATTTCTACGCAACTCATCGTACCAAAGTAGAACCCGTTGGACGAAATGGATTTTCATTAATACGCGGAAAAATTAAGTCCAAATTTTTTATTTTTTTAATCTTTGATATTTGCAATTTTTAGACACTTCAGTCGTTTTTTTTTTTCCTCAACATCAAAAAATCTATAAGAAGAAGTTAAATAAATTTGAGCTATTGTTGGGTTGATACTTAATAATTCCCTATTACTCGAGGTATTTTTCCTAAACCTATATCAAAAATTTGATTACAAGGAAGTTAATTTAAGCGATTAAAATTGATTTCAATTATATTAAGTTCTTATATTCATTTTGCATACTTTAGTTAGATATACATACATATGTACATACATAAATATGTGCTCTAAATGTTTGTCCATATTTTTGTTGCAATAAAAAAAAATGTTTGTATAGTAACGTTGGCTACAATGACTGCACCCAAAATAGAAACTTCCGTTCTACATATGTAGAAGTATGACAATAAATTAACAAACGTACACATATTATTTATGTGTGTACATATATGTACATATTTACATAAATAACTCAAAGTCTGCTTTTATATTTTATACACTCAAAAGTTAATTCGAAGCTTAATTTGAGACGCGTGTGCGCATTTATTTTACTTATACAATAGTGGTATTCACCAAATTGAGCAATGGGCCTGGCACTCTGGCAAAAGAGTAGATGAGCGCACTGCACGACTTTAAAGACATCTCTCAGATAAATCCGCTCTCTGGCGAACTTATTACAGTAGACGAATACATGTTCGACGTCTTCGGCAGCGCTTCCAGCTTGAAGCGAGTGAGGTAAGCCTTAATCAGCCGTGACCTGTAAACAACTGGGTTATATGAAAATTTACCTCACCATGAGAGCGGCTTATCCATGGTTCGAGTTTTGGTATTAATCGGTGGGTCCAACGTCCGTTTCTACTTGCGTCCCATCGCATTTGCCACTTTACCAGGGTATCGTTTCTTGAAATTTTCTTTTTTAGAGTTAGGTACCTCAAAATTGGTCTCCTCAGCCAAGAGATCTATTGGGTGTAAACTTGCGACAACAAGGGCTGCGTCTTCGGATACTATACAAAATGCACAGCAAACCCTTAGAGCACAAATTCTGTATATGGATGCCAGACCACGTCTGTAGGACTTAGTGTCGAGCGCATTTGCCCAAACTTGCGCACGATATAGGGATACCGACTTCAGTACTCCGGCTAAAAGAGGTCTTCTGTTCTGTTCTGGGACCACGTGGATTGAGCATCATTATTGATAAAGTGTTCTTTGAAACCTAGCCTTGCATCTAATATTATACCCAGATACTTTACTTTAACGTTAAAGGAAACACATATTCACGAATCTTCTTACCTGTGACAAGAACAGCCTCGGTCTTGCTTTCCGCTAGGGCAAGTCCCATTGAGTCCAGCCACTCACCTTTGAGCGTCACTGTGGCATTGGGCATTGGCTAATATGGGTATTTGGGTTAGATGCCACTAATGTATCTAAGCAGGGACCGTAAATAGCAGTTATTTTTTCCCAACAGTTAAACTTGGCCAGATAGTTTTTAAATTCGAAATAAAAGTCTTTCCGGATAGTAAACAAACCGCTTATGCAAATTAAACAAACTCAGGACCCTTAAATGCTGATTATTTTTTATTCAATTTTATATTTTAACTGTGGCTTATATTTCACATCGCCCACGATGATATTTAAAGAATATAGACTTTTTTTCGACACTTTAGATACCAGAAGCAACAACAAAACACACGAAAATGGTGTTTTTGCTCTAATGATACTACCTGTTTGATATTCCTTGGGGTGGGGTAGTGGACTACACAAAAAATCACTACGGAAATTTTGTGACACCTGCGATCCAACGAAAGGGACGGAAGTGTATTCATTTTCCCTTTCTCTATTTCCCGCCTAAGCCTAAGGAAAATACAAAGGCTAGACAATATCCTGAGAAGTACAAAAATGAATAAGGACAAAGACTAAGAGGAATACGAAGACCCAAATGAGGGCCAAAACGAAAACTAATAGAAATATCAATACGAATTCGGGTATTGAATATGAAGTCGAAATCGAAATCGAAGACGGAGAAGACCATGAAGACCAAACCGAAAACGAATACAAATACATAGACGAACACATGGTGACGAAGGTGAATATATACAAATACGAAAACTACTTCGAAGGTTAATAGTACCAAAAAGAATACGAAGACGAATGCGGAACCTCGGAAACAAATACGTAGAAGAATACGAATATTAATCCAATGAGACATTTGAAGAAAAACACGAAAAAGAGTACGAAGTGGAAGACAAATTTGAAGACGAAGGCGTTAGTTCTTATATAAGTGAGGTCCTCGTATTTAGTACTCGTATTCGACTTTAAAATTGTCTTCGTATTCGACTCTTTTATCGTTTTTGTATTCGTGTTCGTCTTCGAATTTGCCTTCGACTTCGTACTACTCTTCGTGTTTGTCTTCAAATTTGTCTTCGCATTCATTTTCATCTTCGTAATCGTCTCCGAGATTCCGCATTCCCTGTATAATTCTTCCTTCTAAAGTTAGTTTAGGTAAAGCATAAATATACCACATTTTAATAATTAGTGGTCGTTTTCTAATTTTTGCCCAATAGTGATATGAGGACATGACACTGTGCTCGGCTATTTTCGGTTTCAAACTCAGCATTAATTGAGAATTAGCCAGAGAAATTTTGAGATCAAGAAAAAAGTGTTTTAATATGTATAGTAAACAATTTAAAGATAAGTAAATTATTTATATGTTTTTTTTTACACTTTGAATTTCTTATAGATAAAGCATTGTTTGTACACAAATAAATATAGTAAAACCCTTCGTTTCTCTTCTTTTATTTTCAGATAAACCAGCTTAGTTTGAAGAAAAGCATTAACAACAGCAACACCAACAACAATCCTTGCGCCAAGAAAAGCAACAATTTTTGTTTTCATATCTTTCCACTCGATATGTTTAATCAATTGTTGCATACATATGTACATAACCACGTATGGATGTATGTATGTGAGTTTTTTTTTTTATCAACGCGCGCGCATTCGAACATGGACTCCTACATAAATGAAAGAAGAGAGCATTAAAAAAAATTATGTGATAAAATTATAAAATTTTTTTGCTGCTCTTGTTTGTTGTTTACACAAAATTTGATTGAAAACAAATACTACACATATGTAAGTAGTCGTTAAAATGACTTGGTCACGTACGGAGCGAAGCGATTAAAAACGCGCAACTTTCGTTTAAGAATGGATTAAAAATAATTGCATATTTAAAAATCCCCAAAAAGTGCTCGCATAACTGATTTGTAGAAAATTTTTCTACGAAAATAATGTTTTTAATTTTTCGACGCACTGAAATGCATACAAATTTCATTATTTTAGTGTTTAACAGTGTTTTTAATTGTTGTTGTTGTAGCATTTGAAAGTGCTTTAATTAAAATTTATGTATGTAAATGAAATTTCTATTCAATTTACAGATCTCAGTGGTTTTAAGATGTGATATATCGTTGCTTGTTTGTACGTGTATGCATGGCAAACCACAAACAAAGTAATAATAAAGTGCTAAGAAAGTGAGAAAGTGACGCAGCAGCAAGTAGTAGATACGATTGCTTGCGTAGTGCATAGTCTTAGTTATAAATATAAATTGTTTAATAATTGCAACAAATTTGAAATTAAGATGAAACTTCCACACACAACAACAATAACAACAACAACAACGCACATATCCACTTGGCGGCACGGCAGCGGACTGAGTAATGCGAGTATATGTATAGTGTTGTTGTTGCTGCGATTACTCGCTATATGCAGCATTGAAGCAGGTGAGTAAATTTAATCAAATTAAATAAACGAAATTATTTTAAAATGAGTGGACCTTAAAGCGACTTTGAGATAGTAAAATTATACTTTACTAGAGTGCCAGTTACTGTCGAAATTCGACCGTTTTTCTAATTTTAAATTTTAATTTTAAGAGTCTTTGGTGAGTTTTTCTAACTTAACACGTCTAAACTTATAAGGTACAAAGTAACTTAACGGAAAATCTTCTGCTTTGGAACTCAAACGTGACTACAATTTTTTATATCTTTGAAGATCTTTGGAGGACTTTGGCAGGACTTGGAATTGACCCGATACATTCCAGTTTATCGATCATTTTAATGATTTGATACATATCGATAATGCGATCAATTTTAAAAACACTAAAATCTGATAACTCAACAAAATTCGATAAATTTCGATAACTGTAAAATTCAAGAGCACGATAAATTTCGATAACTCAAAAATGTAAATACATATATACCTTTGGATACCTTTATAAATTTTTAATTTTAACAGCTCCATATTTTTCGAATGCTATTGAAAAATTTCTATAACTCGTTACACTCTGTTAACACGATAAAATCCGATAAGCAGGGATAACTCGATAAACTTATATTTCGATAAACCTTGAAATTTTGATAAATCGATATATTTTGAAAATTGCATCAACAATTGACCAATTTCAGTAGATCAATAATTATCGATAACTCCGTAAGTTGAAAGAACTCGATGCATTGCGATAGCTCGATAAATTTCGTTAATGATAATTCAATAAATATCGATAACTTGCTAAATTTCTTTAACTTGACAAATTTCCGTTTTCCAAAAGTATATACAACTTTTGCCCCTTTTCAGAGATTTTTTTTTAGGAAATGTTAACAGAACCATGCTATAAAAAATATTTCCTCCTGTAAGTACGAAAAAATGCAACACTTAAAACTTTTAAAGGAAATGCATTTCTTCTCCTTGCAGCAACTAGATTTGTGTGTGTATGTTTGCAACCCTGTTTTGTGCAAAGCTTGTCCCGCTAGTTTCTTTTTAAATTCAACAGATTTATTCTTTTACTAGTAAAGAATAGCAAAAATAATATGGTGACCCTTTCTTCCGTCAATGACCTCTTTTTTGCGACTTTCTGAAAATTCTCAACGGCAACACTGGTTTCAAGCAGTCGTTGCAAAATTGCGTTGATTTTTAATATTTTTTATGCTGACGGCTTTTTGCATTTATTTTCTTATGGAAGAAAATGCACAAAACCGTTTTCAAAGAAAATTTAAAAAAATACCGCCAGTTTTGCAATCGCTTAAAACTTGCACTTTACTAAAATTTAATGGGCTATAAAATTACATACTCATATAAATTCTAAAAAAAAATTTAAAAATTTGTAAATTTGTAATGTACTCATTTTACTCAACTTCGGTGAAGAAAAAAATGCATAACTCAAATTATTGTAGAGTGCACACCGTAATGCTATACTTAAATATATGCTCAGAGCTACCATTGCGATATTTTTAAATTTTTTTTGAGATGGTATATTTTCAAGAAAATGTATTTTTTTAATATTTCCTTTTATTGAGAATTTTGATGTGTGATTTTTTTTAAATTTTTCCTCGCTCCGTTCTCAAGATATTTGGAAAACTGTTAAATCGATTTATTTTTGTTTTTGTGCTGTAAAGTTTTTAAAAATGTATTAATCAAGCTCAAATTTCATATTTATTTATTATTTAAGCTTGTCCATCTATCCCAAAAATTTTAAATAAATCAAACACATAAAGTGTGAACTCCGTCCATTTTGGTATGGAACGCCCCATATACATACATACATATGTACGTAAATTCAGACATGTGTCATAGTATGTAAGTATTTATTTATGTATTCTTAGCAATTGCCGAATTATCAGAGGCGCCAGATCACATCATCTAAATCACTTAACACCAATTAATTTATGTAACAATATTATGCTGAGATTTTTGTACCATTAAAAGGGGAGTGGAGTGTTGCTGGTAGTTCAAGAAACAATAAAAAACTCACATACATACATATGTACTTATGTATTTAGTAGCGGACACTTTTGAAAAATGCTTTGTTGATAGCGGCTCTGCGTTTTTTTTCAAATATTGCTGTGTTATTTTATGTATGTATGACTAAATAAATAAGTGAAAGCGCCTGAAAGCACAATAAATACAATAATTATCTCAAAATTTACACTTGTTTCTTGCGAGTCCAATGGATGACCTTTTATTTCACGTATTATTCCCGCAAGAATTTATTGTGTGTGGCGCAAAAAAAAAAGCATTAAAATGTGTTTCAACAATGATATGTCTACGAGTCCATACATATTTACATACATACTTACAAACATGCGTGCAGCGTGGCTGAAACTACTTATAAAAGTGTGTAAATGCTACAAGTGCGATTGCATTCGGACACGAGTATGTTTTTTGTTGTGCTGATTAAGCTCGTTTTTCATATACAATCGTGTTTTTTTGTTAATATTCTAGAATTTATTGCTTCACCATTTTTTTTTTTTTTTTTTAATTTAAAATTTTTTTCACTCCATTTTTTTTTTTTTTTTTAATTTTTTTTTATTTTTTTTTTTCCCTTTTTTTTTTTTTTTTTTTAATTCACAATTCACTCAGCTCCATATTTCGCTGCTTATGCAAATTTTTATTGTATTGTTATTAGCTTTAGGGACTTTTAAGCGTTCCTTAGGGCAATTGATAAGTGAGAAGCTGTTGCTATTTGTGCGCACAATTATTAATTACTTGCCACCGTTTGTATGTACATACATATGTACATATGTTATATGGCAGACATTCACTAATCAATGTGTGCAAAATAATATAATAACTTAGTGTTGGGAGAGCGACTTACGATTGCGCAATTACCCAGTAAACCACAAAAATTGAGCTCTCTAAATAAGTTATTTGTTTTTTCCAGCCTGCTGAAAGGTCCAAAATAAACCCCAATGCCTTTATTCCGATCAGCTTGAAATTTTGTGTATTTTTATATGGAGTTTCGAAAAAAAATACGCCTTTTTATTTTTATACATATGTATGTATGTATTTTATGGGCGCTTTGCTATGGATAATGTTACGATTTTGCTCGTAGAAATGAGCAAAAACGTTGTCAATGAGAATTATATAAGAACACAAAAAACCCTGTAGAACGTTTCCAAAGAGAACAAAATGCGAACAATACTTTCGGAAACATTTCTAAGAAAACAAAAGTCTCTGCAACATTTTGGCAAAGAACAAACCGGGAACAAAAGTCTAAGGAACTTTCTCTCGGAGGGCAATTTGGGAACAAAAGCAACTTTCTGACAGAGAAACGAAACGGGAACAAATCTTCTCAGAACTATTCGCGAAGAAAGGAAGCGAGCACAAAATTTTACACATAGCGTAACATTAGTTTGAAATATTTGAATATTAAAAAAAAATCAAAAAAGCACTGAAACATAGTTATGCAAATAAAGTCAACGAAAGACTTAAGACACGAAATTTTCTTGAACAGAAAATGAAATTTTTTTCCATAAATGCACAGCTCACCCTAATGGTAAACGATCTCAACGATGCTCCCGTTGAAAGTGCTCTCAATACTTTTGTTCCCGTTTGGCTATTTTGTTACATTACATTTTGTTCTCGTGCAGAACTAAACCAAAACTGCAATGTGTTCTCGGTTCCTGCGTTACAACACTGGTCGCGCTTGAACCTCACTAAAACTAGCTTGCTACTGAACTAAATATCTACCTGTGCATTACACCGTACCACCTTGCAAGCAAACAAAGAAAACTCAACCGTACAACCCTAAGATTAAAGTGTTTTTGCAAGGAAATTTCGAAAAAAAAATTGCTTGGCCGAAGCCAAGACTCTTTGCTTTTGCCTCTGGCCTTTGCCAGAGTACAGAGTAACGCTCACACAAGCCAAGCTAAGTTTTTCGTTTGCTAGGTTAATTGCCATGTTTTTTTTTTCTATAATTAAAAATTCAATTGTTTGTTTACATCAGTAGAAGTCAAAGTGATAGGGGGCGAGTAGACACTATCAGTTAAATAAAGTATTGCATACTAAAGAAAAATAAGAAATTTACATATATAGAAAACCAGCCAATAAAGACAACGGCGGGAGAATTCCACGCCGCTTTCATGTAGTGCGACTTTAGAAAGTTTTATTGTTGTTGTTTTTTTTTTTTGTAGACATTTATTTTTGGAAGAAATAGATGGCTATCATTGCTTTATATCTTTATAGTTTATTTCCACAAAGCCTGAACTGCAGTTAATGCCTATTGGTAAAAGCAGTTACTCATATTAAGAATAAGCAAACGAAAGAAAAAGGGCAAAAATTAAGAAATAAAACGTGCCAATCACCTCTTGTTAAAACTACTGTACTTATGTATCCTGAGCTCTTAACTGCAATTTAGCCTTGGTGGAAATTGGCCATTATATCGCATGTAAAAATCAAATGTATATGTCTAGTCGTCTAAACTTTATTGACTCGATAACTACACTATGCGACAGTCAAAATCGGGATGGGATGAAACCAACGGGAAATGTTATATCGGTCAAAAACAAGTTATACGCGGCCCGGATTTTTTATGAATTAAAAAAAAAATTTGAATTTTTAGGCAAAAATAATTTTTTTTTCTTCATACATTTATTTTTACCGGCAAAACTGTTGAGTATATAGAAAAACGTTATATTAACAGATTAAAGGAATTGTAATTTTTAATTTTTTTAAATTTGTTTGAGCAAAATCGGACTAGTGGTTCTCGAGTTATGTCAAAAAAAAAGACCACCAAAGGTGACAATTTCCCCCATAATGATAGTTACTAATTTCAAATCGATATATCTCGATTCCTAGACGTGACCCAGCGAAACGCCGGGCCACGTATAACTTGTTTTTGACCGATATAACTTTCCCCGGTAGTTTGAACCCTTCCCGATCACTGACCCCTACCATTTGTCTCACAGTGCTATTAATTCGATTGAGCACAAATTCTCTTTGACTATCC